CTTACTCTCTGGAAACAAATACTGTGGGGGTAAGACACCCCTAACACCTCCTCGGTGTGTGTGTTCTGTTAAGATACAGCCTGTTGTGCCTTAAAATGGCTTCTACTGTACAGCGCTGTGGAGTTGTCATTGTAATGGCTTCACAGTACTCCACAAGGGGGCTCCCTCTGGTAAAGGGGAAAATCCAACATTAGACATTGCGGCAACGTTCATGGAAGGAGGCTTGGGATAGATAAACACCTGGGAAGTGCCGGATTATCAGCTAGTAATTTTTAAAAGGGGGAAAGGGAAAACATAATGAAAGAAGTCCTCATTTAACTGCCAACATCAACACAAAGTACTTTTAAGTCCCTCTGAGATCAAAGGGGCTAATTCTCAGATTTCAGCTTAATCCTAAACCATTTTCCCCAGCTCTAGTCAAAGAGATATCTTACTGCCACAGTGCTAGAATTCGTCAAATTGATATAGCCAGTTGTCTCACAAAACAAGCAATATGTCACATCCAAGGGAATAAAGTTGGAGAAGGCTAGGGTAAACTTGTGGGTTCCTTGGTGTTCTCTAAACTTGGTGGTTTTCTTAGAGATGTTTCATGACCCAACAAGGTAACATCATCAGTGCTAGAAGGCAGTGGGTTTTCCCTCTCTGTTTATATAGTAGTGGCTTGCTTGCATGTCAATGAGAATGTTCTTGGTGGTTTGTCAATTAGGTTGTTGTTTACTAGGTTGGAACTTCCTTGAATACCTTCCTAGGTTAATAGGGGAATTGTAGGTTAGACTTTCTTGGCGTGAACATAAATCAATCAAATATGTGCATATTCCTAACAACCTCTTGTCTTTTCTCATACAGATTCCTTCTGTTGCCCTGGCCTATGAAAAAGCCGAAAGTGACATCATGAAGAGGAAACCGAGGCACAAAAAAAGAGACAGATTGGTCAACCAGGAGCTTGCAGTTTACTCCTACTTGCAAATCGGTACGATAGGGAAATTCTTACCAGAGAGGAATGGAGTAGGTGTTGGGATGGAACCTTTGTGGGTGAACACGGAGACTATTTCTCATCTTCAATGACCAGGATCAGAGGTGGTATTCTGGAGAACCGGTAGCATAAATTTTGAGTAGTTCGAAGAACCGGTAAATACCCCCTCTGGCTGGCCCCGCTCCGTCTATTCTCTGCTTTTGAGCCCCAGCTGATTGGGAGGGAATGGGGATTTTGCAGTAACCTTCCCCTGCCACGCCCACCAAGTCATACCACACCCACCAAGCCACGTCCACAGAACCGGTAGTAAAAATGTTGAATCCCACTACTGACCAGGATCCTGCTAACTGAGATCCAAATGTCTCCAGAGAAAACAATGTGGTAGACATTCTTCCAATCTTTCTTTTTTTCATCAGCTTTCTTCTCCTATAAAAGCCAATCCTGTTTTTTTTCTTTTGCAGGCATTCTCCAAACCGTTGGGGCCTTTTTGACCTATTTCACCGTTTATGCTGAGCAAGGCTGGCTCCCTCAATCTCTTCTGCATATCCGGATTCCGTGGGAAGAGGAATATTTGTCTGACTTGACGGACAGCTATGGACAAGAATGGGTAAAGACAACTGGTGACTTTGGGCCAGTCACTCTTTCTTAACTGTAGGAAGAAGGCCAAGTGTCTGTTGAGATTCTCAGCCATCCAGGTCATGGTTGTGTCATTGTAACACCCCCCCAATGAAAGAAGACTCCGTGACTTGAGGTTCCCCAAAGTCCCATTTTATTAGAGATGCCCTATTGGCACATCTGGGAAAACCCGAATCTGACAGCTTCCAGGTTTCCCCCACCCAAACTAACACTCAAAGAAAATTTGGGTGCATCTTATACACCGAATGTAGCCCCACCCACCCCCACCAGAGGCCAAAAACACCAGGCATGCAGGCAGCGATGGTCTGTGGCAATCCCTGCAGCCTGGAACAGCTGATTGGGGGTATGCCGGCAGTCTGATCCACCTGCCAATCAGCTGTGCTGAATCAGGCTGTAATAAGTGCTGAAGCTGACCTGGCTGGTCAGAGTTTGCAGCAGCAATCACATTCAGAAAGCACAGTAACTGATTCAGCAGGATTCAAAATAATAATAATATACAACACATTACCAAAAGCAGGTTTTCCAAGGAGCAGTAAATACAAGCAAAACACAAGCAGTTTCACTTTCAGTTCTTGGCTAAGCCAGGCTCCTTCCTGTCTCCTTCTTGCTCACACAGCAAATTTCAGAGTCCAAGTAGCCCTCATTGGCTGACTTAGTTGCTATGCCTATTCATTGGATGACCC